TTTTTTTTTTTTTTTTTTTTTTTTTTTGTCTTCAGAGTTCCTCTACTCCGTGCTTTATATTTCATATTAGGAAAAACATTTATAGCCACTAAACAAATTGGCAAGTTCACCATTTCAGCCATTGCGTGATCGTAGGGCGTTTCCCGTATTCTGCAATGTTAGCCTACAACGGGGAACAGAGGTCTCGCGCCACCTACACTCTTGTCGGATAAGTAGCTGTCGTCATTTATTCTAAGTTTGAATATTCTAAAGTTGACCCCTTGACCTCCGGTGAAATCCAGTGTTCCCGAATGGAAAAGTTGTGCACGGGCAGCCACAAAATAAAGATACGAATCCGGTCTGTCGCGACTGTCGCTGATGGTGATTCCGTCCGGCCATTGGATCGTCTCCCAATTTTGGATGAGGGGTTTCTGGGTTTTGATGGTTGCTTTCCCTTCTATGACGCCTTCGTTAGCGATGTCTTGCTGGGCATCCCACCTGTAGATAATGGAAGGCAGATTACAAAGCGGCGGATTATTTGGGCTGGACTGCCAAATACGAGTTAATTTACGGACAGACTATGAGACGGTAACCATAACGAGATATGTTTTTCCGCAAGAATATTAGGATGTCCGTAAAAGGAATTCGTCTGTGCAGATAAAAACTTATGGTAAAAATGGGGTCGTAATCAAACACATGTGCGCCAACGCTTTTCTCATTGCGTGACATCGTCTATGACTCCACCACAGATACCGCGTGTGCCATTATTAAAGATAGCATGGGAGAACCTACTAAAGATAGAAGCTGTAAAAACAGTTAACGAAAATCTACCAGATCACGATAGAGCAGTGGCGTAGCGAGGCAGGTGCGGGGGGTGCGGACCGCACCGGGTGACACCATTTTAGGGGTGACACCCGATTGAAAAATTGCATATTTACAGGGCACACATTGCTCGCAAAAACCGAGATTCATAAAAGAATAACCGATCACACATATATTTTTCACAAATGTAACCAATCCAAAAGCGTGCTTTATTAAAAGTCCAAGGTTGATGCTATACTGTGGACTTATTTTAACAAGAAAAAATCGCTCATAGAAGTTTGGGGGGGGGGGTGTGACACCACGAGTTTACCGCACCGGGTGACACCAACCCTAGCTACGCCACTGCGATAGAGGCTCCTTAAGTAGCATGGGAGAAGCTGGCAAAGATCCAAGGGATTTCCACGCTCGGGAGGGGATCTAGCATCTAATTAAACTTATTTTAAATAGTAAAGTCAATCAAATAGTGTCGGAGGTGAAAGAAGTGATAACAGCAGGCAACCGTTCTGATTTCAGTCTACGGAAGCAAAAAAAAAAACCTCTCTAGGGAACAAAGAAGAAAATATAAACAACTATCATAAGAAGACCAGTAGTAACTTACGCTAGTGAGACTTGGTTCCTTACAAGAAAAGCAGAGAACCTGCTCAATACATGGGAGAGGAAAATCCTCAGGAAAATATATGGCCCAGTGATAGACAATGATGTCTGAAGAATCCGTACAAACCAGGAGCTATACCGATGATACAAAGGCCCACCCATAGTCGCAGCAATAGAAAAAAGACATTCTCTGCTGGGCATGGCATATCGAAAGGATGCAGTATTGTAGAGCAGCAAAAGTGATATACATGCATACGACTCACCGGTCGTCCAAGACTGAGATGGATCGACGATGTAGAGAAGGATTTACACCAGTTGGAGGTTCGCGCATGGAGGCGGAAAGCAATGGATCGATCCGAATGGAAGGAAATGGTTGAGCAGGCCAGGGCCCTACATGGGCTGTAGCACCACTGACGATAATGTTTAATTAATAGTGAATTGTGCTTTAGATTGAATTTTAAGTAGTTCATTTTAAGAGCATTTTTTTTTTTTTGAAGTGTGGCTTTTGAAGGGGGGGGGGGCATTTGAAGAAAAAAATGGGGGGGGGGGGGAGTACAACATTCGGATATGATTTATTATGTCATCAAGCTTGAACCTTTTTTTTTTCTAATTTATATGGGCCTACTTTAGGATTGCTTTAGTCAGAACAGGGAATACTTGTACAAACCACTCATTTCTTTTGCCCTAAACCAACTCATAGTCCAGAAAAAAATTAAATACCTTTCAAATCATCTACTTACTAGACTCATAGTCTAGAAAAAATGAACTGGCCTACCTTTCAAATCATCTACTTACTAGACTCATAGTCTAGAAAAAATGAACTGGCCTACCTTTCAAATCATCTACTTACATGAAAACGGCATCAAGTCCCAGTGCACCGTAGTACAGCCCTTTTCTACCAAACACCATGGCGTCTGAGTTGGAGACCTTGTTGCCGACAAGACGCGCATAGCTGGAGAAGTCGGCGCCTTTCCTCCTTAGCACAAACGTGGGAATCTGCCAGAGCTTCTTGGACCCGAGGGCGGAGTAGTAGACGTAGTTAAAGGTGGGTGACATGGCGATGCCGTTGATGGCAAAGGGCCACGGGTATTCAATCCCATTGATTGTTATGTTGCTGGTAGGATTTTAAATTGTAAAAAAAAAAAAAATTAAATTTAAAAAAAAGAATAACTTAAAAAGAACAAAATTATGCTAGACATTAGGATAACAAACTGCATAGGGCTATTTTCAGAGACGTCACAATCCTTGAAAAATGAGTAAAACAGAGTTGGGTTAAACCTGAAAAAAGGAACGCAACAAAACAACGAACGACAGAAAGCCTTCGTCAGCGAACAAAACAACAGAAAAAACGGTATAAAAAATTAAAATTAGAAATAGTGCTTAGCTTAGACGTAGTATCCATGGGCAGCAAAAGAAATGTGACAGAAAGTAAGTGAGTGAGAGATTAAATGGGGAAGAGCCAAAGAAAAGAGGAGAAAAAAGTCCACTGCGATAGGTCAGGACGTGGAGGGGCGGAGCTAGGGCCAAGCTGTGAAAAGAGACATGACGTTGATCCCATCAAGACTGCAATCAGGTTAGCCCTCATCACCCACCCAAATCCCTTACTTCCATTGTTGTTGTGTAAATGGGCGTTGGCTTGAAGTCTGGTCTAATCTTTTCCATTAATATCAGAATGTCAATGGTTAAGGGCATCAGTGACAGCACTGTAGCCTTACAAAAATAGTCTCTGTGGCTTTTGTGTGCGTGCATCACAGACAGCTTGTGACAAAATGTTTAATTTAGACAATTATAAGTGAGGGCCCGTCCATAAAGTAGGCCTACGTCACGCTCTAGAGAGTTAAAAGAGTCTAAGGAATTGTGACAGTGATGGTGAACTGTCGGTAATGATAGATGTCATTTTCATGAATTTAACTTGTGAAGTGTGGGTAGATTCAATATTAATTAGATACTGGTACTAATTTGTGCTAGGGTGCTAGGTGGTCGAATGGTCTAAACTGAGCAAATCTCAAGTTGGTGGTCTGGAGCTCAATTCCAGCCGAAAAGCACAGTCAAGCAAAAACATCACGAGCACCCCGGGTGGATGGGACCTGTTAACCTTGGATGGCAACTCATCCAAGAGAAGGAAACTCTGAATTCAAACCCGGAGATGGAGTCCCGTAGGCGGATAGCATTGGCACAATGAAACACTCCGACAACTCCTGCGACGCCGCTGGTGCCAAGCTGTATCATCCACATGTTGTTCCCTTGGGTTATCCAGCGGCGTGGAGAGAGGTGATTTGCTGTTGGGAACCAGTTTATAATCCCAGAAGAATAATCCCAGGTCTTGTGGATTTCGTCTACCCCATCGTCACAACTTGCTGTTGATGATGAACGGATGCCAGCAACAAGAAAAATTGGGGTAGGTATTTGTCGATGCAGTGTCTTTTAGGGCATTTTTCGATGCAGTGTGTCGATTAACTGTAGGCTATTTATCGATAATGTGTCATGTAACCCAGTTTAAATATTAGGTAGGGGCGAATAGTTAGTTTAATTGTTATTAATATTCTTGTTCGCACCAAAATCCATCTGAGAATATAATGGATCTGAGATAATATTAATAGCTTCACCTATCTTCATCTGACATTTAAGTGTAGAAGACATAACGTTGGTAGCCTCACCTGTCTTCATCTGAGAGCATCGAAACTGGATGTTTAAAGCTCCACGTGTCATTGGTCTGGAAATCAAAGACCACCAGCTGTTCACCTGCAGTGTTGTAAAATAATAACATGCATATACTATTATTCAAAATACAACATACATTATCAATACAGCGTCTCACAATTTTCCCGATTTTGAAGATGAATTTTGTACTACTCCCTAAGCCCAGAGTAAAAAAACAACCCAACCACCGAAGTAAGGAAATAGCAATCAAATTTTAAACTAGGTTTACATGATCAAAATAAATATAAACGTGTAGTCATAGCATTATATACCTCGCCCCCTCCCTCTTTTTTTCCCTAGCGAATGATGATGATGATGATTATTGATTACTTGTATGGAGCTTGTGTCCATGCTATCTTAGCATGCTCAAAGCGCTCTAATGTCATAAAATCTAATGTCTTTACATGTCTCTTAAATGATTTTTTTTAAAAATCATTTTTAATTTCCCTCAAAGACTGAGGCAAAGTGTTCCTTAATTAAGGCACTATAGCACCCCGAAGGACTTCTTTCTGTGTCCATCCACCCTGGGATATAACCACGTATTCCACTATTTAATGTAATCTTTGCATTCATAGAGAGTACAGTGTACGGAGACATACACTTTTTCGTGTTCACCTTTTGTGTCAGAAATGTAGGCGTACCGCACTCCGGTCACGTGATCGGGGTCCACGTAGTCCAGGACGATGTCGTTGATGAAGTTCGAGTCACGAGACACAACCGAGTTGGGGAATTCGTGACGCCTCACAACATCGCGACCGGACCGCCTCGTGTCGAACACGACAAGTTTGGCTGGACACAGGTTGGACGGCTGATCTGACGTCACGCCCACACGGCCGATGTCAATGACGTACAGATACCCAGTCCTGGGGGAAAGAATAAAACGAAAGTGGGGTTAGTGTTACACTATAGCAGGGGTCTCCAAACTACGGCCCGCGGGCCGTATCTAATGCGGCGTGCACGCTATGTTTTAACTGAATTGAAATAGAGGCGCGTTCATGTGTAGTGTATCAATGTGTTATTAAATAATAACTGAATAAAATATTATTAAATAAATAATTCAAAACAACATCCATGTTTTGATTCTTATTTATTTGGACCTCGAGTGTGTAGTCGGCCCCCGAATTGCTGTTTGATCGTTCATGCGGCCCTCGGGCTGAAAAGTTTGGAGACCCCTGCACTGTAGGTTCGTTCAGGGGCGTGGGTGACTTATTTTTGACATGGGGGTGCGGGACCAACCTTAGCCATCCGGTGCAGCTGTAAGTATAGGGGCCATCCATAAAAGACGTCCACCAATTTTTTGCTATTTTTTATCCCCTCCTCCCCCTTTGTCCACTTTTGTTCACTTTTGATTTGACCACACCCCCCCCCCCAACCGGTTGTGGACGTCCAAAACATAAAACTTACCGAACTTAAATTAATGAATATTTTGGGAAAATGTACAACAATATAAAGAGTATGTATTTACAAAGATTTTTTTTTAGAAATTCCAATTATTTGCAGGCAAAAATTCTAAATGTAATAATAACTGTTTAAAAACATTTTATTGAATCACTGTATTAAAAAAAATGTTATAAACAAATAATCCACCATTCTTCAATCAACGGAAAATTTGGACTGCAGCCAGTCAAACATGTTTCGTATAATGACAACATCTGTTCTCGAGTCTTCAATTGCTAATTCAATTTCAGTGGCAGTCTCTTCGTCTGATTCGTCTGCCATATTATGTTCACTAGCAGGAATATTGCAATGGACGACCTTATGTTTTTTCATTGCCGCCTGTGATGGGAAATATTTACCGCAAAAACATATTCTCTTGGAAATTCTCCCAGCCACCGATGGACGATAGAGATAAAAGGCATGCTACTGTAACTGTCATCGGGCAGTAAATTTGAAGTAAATCTATGCTAAACGTCTGCACTCAAAAAAAAACACTACAATGTGGACATCCACTTTGTCCTAAACCTCCTCCTCCCCTTTGTCCACTTTAGTCCACTTTTTGCTGAACCCCCCCCCCCTTTTTGTGTGGACGTCTTTTATGGATGACCACTTTGGTTAATTGTAAATCTGCACGTTGTTGCGTTAAAAAAAAATATGACAGAATCCAACAGGAAAAGATTTGGTCGATTTCTTGTATTTATTGTCAGCGTTGAAACACTTTCCCCAGTGGCGTGGGAATGGGGGTGGAGGTGGGTGGTACTCTCCGGGCGATTTGGGGGGAGGGGGGCGCGACAAAAAACTTAGCCCGCCAAGGGTGGCACTAGCCCTAGCCACGCCACTGGCTTTATCGTTCGACTTATAAAACTATTTCTTTTTTTTAATTACAAAAACAACCCTTCTTAAGATTTTCTAGACATTTTGCTTTTCAAAACGGGCTTTTAATTAGCAGCGTACAAAATCTATTTCATGCAAATCGACTTTGTTAATATGGGTGCCATGCCGGCCTAACCGATGTTAAATGATCCCTTTATTAGACTTCAAAATGTTGCCGTTCTCCCCCCCCCCTCTCTTCTCCCCCCCTCGTCACCGGGACGGTTTGTTACTCGCGCACAATTTCAAAGCATAACAATCCTATAATTTATAGAACGCCACGCTCTATGCAAATGTTACACCCGTTTTTAAGTGCCCACATCACCGTCAGATGCTGACATTACGCGACCACGTTAGTCTAAGGGTATGCAGTCCTAGCGTCCAGTATTCAAATAATGTACATTGAAGCTTTTCTGGTGTACGATCATCACCGAGGCGGAAGTCGGGAGACGGGAAATAACACATTGACCGAATTTTAGTGCGTGCGATTTAAGGTACATGGTTAATGTCTGTAACTTTGTGTCCGAATATCCTAGGTTACGTTCTGGCTCCCATCTATCGGGGCTTTGCCAATCAAAGAGATTGCTTTAGATAAGGAGACCTAAAGCGGTGGTTTACAACTGGTGTGTCACGTAATGCGTGTCACAAATGACTGGGGCGGGGGTACAGGATAAAGCTCCATTGTTGTTAAGGTAATTTATAGGATGGAAGGAAACTGCTGTTAATGGGGTTAAGTTAAGGTTAATAGACTCTCACATCTTGATATAGTGGGAGATTGTTTCTTTAGATAATAGTATGTTCGGGTTTTCCAGACTTCGCATGATAATTTTTGGGTTAACAATGGGAAGGTCTAATTGACCGGAAATTAGGGGGCATGGGTGTGTTTATAGATAGCATTCCTGGACCACCTATGGGGGGTAGATAATCACATATAAGAGGGAGCTTTCACTGAGTTAAGTAAGTTGAGGAAGAGGGAACAGAGGTACGACGAGTTGAGGAAGAGGGAAAGGAGCGACAGTAGTTAGTTGAGGAAGATAGAGAAGAACTACGGATTAGTTGAGGAAGAGAGAGAAAAGAGCTACGATAGAACTGAGCAGTTGTTA